TCTTATTCAAAGAAATTGAAATATAAAACTATTAAATTTGCAATATGATATGTATTGAAATTCTAATTTCTGTTTGAAAGAATAAAAAATTTAGATAGAAAAAGAGATAATTACCTCTTCGCGTGATGGATGATCGCCTTATTTTCTTGAAAGAAGCACTGATTCTACCCTGTACCGAAAACGAATATTCAAAATAAAAAAAAAAAAAAAAAAGAAACTATTAAAGCGTTCGTACATAATTCTGTAATCGGCGAACAAGTACTGATTCTAATTTCGCGTATAATTATTATAATTAAATTTAATTAAACCTATTGTGCTCTAAAAAATATTCAAAATACTGTTACGAAGCAAACACTGATTCTACTTAACCACATTGCGCGTGGTCACAAATATTTTTTAAGAGTAAAGTCCAAGAAAAACTTTTATCAGCATCTGCAATAAAATATAAAATATTCTATATAATTTTTTCCTTAAAAATATAATATTCATTATATTTATTAATTATAACATTAAAATCTTGGAATAGTAAAAAAATATAACTATATTTAACTTTAAACTTTAATAAAACAAATAGTTTAATACAAAAAATTAAGTTTCTAATAAATTTTAATAATAATAAATATATGAAATTCTAATATAAAAGATTAAAATAAAAAATAAGAATTTAATGATTTCTCTTACCTCTTCGCGTGATGGATGATCGCCATATTCTCTTGAAAGAAGCACTGATTCTACTCTGTACCGAAAACGAATATTTATAAAAAAAAAAAAATAAAAATAAGAAACTAATAACGCGTCCGTAATAAATAATCGGCGAACAAACACTGATTCTATCTTCGCGTTTGATTATTCTAATTAAATTTAATTAGAGCTATTGTGCTCTAAAAAATATTCAAAATACTATGACGAAGCAAACACTGATTCTATTAACCGCATTGCGCGCGGTCACAAATATTTTCTGAAATTAACATTGAATTAGTAGAAGGGTGAGGAATGATAAAAGAGGAAGAAATATCTTTTTGATATTTTTCTTCTTCTTATCGAGCATTTGTTCTGAAAATACCGCCTTTTTATTTTAATTGATTATGAATTATATATAAAAATGTTACTAATTATTTGATTTTATTTGAAATTTAATAAAATTCGTTATATTCGTTATCAGATTTTAAAATTTAATTTCCAATGATAAATTAAAATATTAAAATTTCTCATATATTTTTAATTTTTTCACTTTTTTTCTAACTAAAACGTAATTTTATTACAAATTGCTTAACAATAATCACTAATAATCCAATAAAACAAAATAAAAATTTATACATACGAAATATAAAATTTTACCACGAAAGAAATTTTACTGCCAAGAAAGACATGGCGTCCATATTGGAAATTTTCCCGCCTTCGTGAGTATTACCATAACGCTACCAATTAAACCTGCGCAGAAAAAATCGAAACTTCTAAATAAATGATTAATATGTATGAAATTTGATGATTATATTAAAATATTACAATAATCAAATCAAATAAAAACTCACAATATATATCATCTTGTAATTCGACACTCGAATTATATGATAAACGAGCAACTCAAAATTATTTAGTTGTCAAGAAATTATCAATTCTAATAACGTTGAATAAAACATTGAATAAAGATGTATTAATTAACACACAAATAATAACAAAAGTACTTATAAAAAAAATATATTAAAATAGTATGCAATAGAAATAGAACAAAATAGAACACACGTCTCGAGAAAATTTCAAATGTCTAATCGTCACGAAAAATCAACGAACAATGTCACTTTGCGCTTCGATTTCGCGCATCGAATAACAAGATGGAGAGGGGATACGCTCGACAAGTCGAAACATGTTTGAACACAAATCCAATTTCTTGGAAATGAAATATCATAAGAAATGTTTCTAGCCTCGAGCAAAATATAAACGATAG